AACGGTGCACAACTCTTGTATTCGTAGTAGTGTTGGAAAACGCATTGAAGTTGTAAGCCTTTAATACACAATTATAATTAATTCAAAAAACAATTATTTTTGTTATGACTGTTAAGATAAAAAATCTTACTAAATATATTTTTTAATTATTATAACAATTATTTTTTATTAATATATAAGAATCTTATGTAATAATACTACATAAATTGTACTATAGTTAGAGTGTGTACTTTAATTTTTACCACTTTAAAGAAACGGGTCCTGTGTGTCCATAAACCGTTCAAGATGCGGAAGCGGTTTAGATAAATTTGGTTTGCCCAAGTCAGATTTGGATACTAGGATACTTATTCCATGTATAATTACTAATCTCACCAATGAAGAGATTAATACTCTCTATTCAAGCTATTAATATTGTCAGAAAAACTATATGGTACCTTTATAAGGTGGTCTAGGGTATTTAATTAATGATATAGTCATTTTGTCTGGTTTGAATTAGGTGCAATAACCGAAGCGATCTTAGTGTATGTAAGTTTATTTATTCTGCATTCTAATAATAATAACATAAATTCAATTTTATTATGATAATTTGTGGAACATAGAACTTATAATCTTATAAAGAATTTTATTAATATAAGGAAACTTCATAAAGTATATGATTGAAAACGAAGTACTATTAGTTAGTGTGTGTATTTCACTATTAACCACAGGTTCTGTTTATCCACATAGCATTCATGGAACCGAATGGGAGTGTGACCAGGTCAGATTAGGATAATTATACCTTGTATAATTACGAACCTAAATAAAGAGATTAATACTATTAGAAGATGATGTACTGCAATAGCAGAAGATCACAGATCATAGTGAAAATATATTTCCGCTTACTACAATCACCAAAAACCCTTAAATATAAAATATCTCTGCCTTAGTCTCTTTCTCATTCTCTATTTTTATCTCTATCTTTGTCTATATTTTTATCTTTATCTTTACTTTTATCTGAATTTCTGTTTCAATTGCTAACTTTTACTATATACAATTGTTTTTTTATGTTTAACAGTCATTTCTAAAAATAATATATAATTATGTTTTATGAAGGCTACAATTTCTGTAAATGAACTAATTTTTTTTTTTCGTTCCGGAGATATATTTAATATTTATTTTGCGCTTACTGCATAGGCATCGTTGCTCAAGTTAATCATTTATCAAAATAAAAATGTAATTGCATATATAAATATTTAAAATGAAGCTGGTTAAATTGTAATTTAAACAACGCATAACATTAAACAAAAATTTGATTAAATTTACACAATTACCAGTTATTATGTTATTTTACTTTAGTTGAAAAAAATAAAATATATAATTTTAATGAATTTTTTAAATGAAATTGAACACGAACAAAACGTACATAAAATTTGCAAGAAAATTTTTGTTTAGTTAAACAAAAACAAAAAAAACAAAATTATTTAATTGAACACAAAATGAAATATTGATTTTATATTAATATTTTCTAATAAAAATAATATTAAATTTTCAGTTTTTATTTTAAATATAATAATGTTTAAGTACATTTGTTTGGTTTTTCTTTTAAATGTAAAATTTTTTTTAAAAACACACATACACGACGTTAAAAAAGAAATTAAATTAAAGCAAATTTTATTTTAAAATTTGTAAATTTAAAAAAAAACAAAAAACTCAAAACACATTTAAATATGTAAATATGTAAAATATCAAATTCCAATTATTTTCTATATTTTGTTTTAGTTGTTTTTTTTTTTTGCTTTTGTGGAACAAAACAAATGTTAAAATTTTCAAATTATAATTTAGAAAATATTAAATAAAAATTTATTTAATTTTGTTAAAAAAATTATACGAAGTAGAAGCATATATATGTATATAAACAAATTATATATTTTTTTTAATAAATATACGAATACAAAATTAGCACACAAAAACAAATTCACGGAAAATATATATTTTTATGTCAATTTTTATATATTTGTTTTTTTTCTTTGTTTTATATAGAAAAGATATATTGGGGAGTATAAATTTTGCTATTAATTAGAGAAATTAGTTTATTGTCTTGTGATTTGCTGAATGAGTAGCAAAATATTTTAATCATGTATTATTTAACATTTAATTAATGTAATAATAAAGCATTTCAGTTTGATAAAATTTAATTTATAATTTATTTTTCTATTTTGTATATTGCGGCGTGTTAACGACGATATTATTTTAATAAAAAAACTATTAGTAAAAACGAACGCCTCAACTTACGCGATTTATAAATGAAAAAAATATTTTTTACGAAAAAAAAAAATTTTATATTAAAATTTACAATGCGAGGAAATATTATTAAATTCATTTATATAGTTTATTTAAATTTGGAGCTAAAACAAAATACAACAGCTTATTTACGCTTTAAATAGTGTTTATTACATAATATTTAGTATGCCTCAACGCTGATAGTTGGATGAGACTCCATGGAATGAGAAAGTGAAACTGTAGCTCTCTTATCTATTTGTGCTTCGCGATTGCAGGGAAGCGAGTCCAGTGCCTTTATTTTATCTTTATTGCGTCGAACCTGGCATTTAGAACTAACATGCAGAGTGAGACTTTTGTGCCCTTATCTACTCGTGTGCTGCGATTGCCAATAAACTACTGCAGTACCTTCATTTGACTCTTATTGAATCGAATCTGGGATATAAAGCCAAAATGCAGAGTGAAGCTACCATTCTCTTATCTACTCGTGCCCTGAGATTGCCAAGAAACGATTCCAGTACTTCCAGTACTGACTTGCCTTGAGTCGAATCAAGGATTTAAAACCAAGATGCAGAGTGGAACTACCATCCGCTTATCTATTCGTGCTCTGCGATTGCCAGGAAACCAGTCCATTAATTTCATTTAACTTGCATTAAGTCGAATTGAGGCCTTAGAACTAAGCAGAAGAGTGAAACTACCACGCTCTTATTCGTTGTCTCTTATATTATTTCTCTTATAGTGTGATATTGGTAGTTGTTTACCATTTACCTTTTTAATAATAATAATAGTACCGATCGACGACAGCGTTACTGGTCTTTGTTTCTTTATATTATTTTAATTATTTTCTTAGTTATATTTAGTTCTATATTACTGAATAATAAAATTAAACTTTAAACCACACTTAAGCAATTGAAAGTGTGACATTCACTATAGCAAACTTTAAAATGCGCAACTGGTTGGTAGCTGTGTTAAAAATGTTGCTAATATTTGTGCTGACTTAATTATGCATGAATTTGTTAAACGTTTTGTGCTACATAATCAAAACATCAAGCGAAACTCAACTAAAACACTTAACACACAAAATCACAATGTTGCCAACATACCAACATACAAACCAGCCATACAGGATACGTTTAGTTATGCCGGCAAGATTAGTTATTCGACAACATGAAGTAGTAAATTTCATACATGGTGTGAGTAGATGGCCGCAAGCCACAGCATAACTTCACACATAAAACAATTTACATGCTCATGAATGCGCCACACTACTGATACTAAAAAGCTCTATTCGACTCGTGTGTTGGCATGTATGAATGTATGTGTATATGTGTGTGTTTCTACATGAAAGCCACTCATGCTTGTTTGTCGATACTATTAACTACACATTATGGAGTCTAATATGTGATTCTAGTTACAAGCAAGTATATTCGTTCATATAAGTTTATATGTTTGTGTATGTATAATTGTGTTGTTTTATTGTTTCACACTGTTTTGATGCTATCAAAAACTTTATCCTTTAAACTTTGATTTAAATATGGCGCATCTATTTTGTCTGAGTGTGAGTGTTTGTTGTTGTTGCTGTTACTGTTATTACGGTGTGGTAATATTTGTTGTTGTTATTGCTATTGATGTGGTTGTTGTTGTTGTTGTTAACCTCAACATAATAGCAACAATTAAAATTTTGTAGAGTTTTGTGTATTTTAGGCAAATTAAATGAAATATTCCCATCGCTGCTTCTTGTTTATCAAAATAAGCGGTGCGGCGGCATAGTTAAAGTGTTAAGGATTTCATTGTTGAAAAGTGTTAAATGAATTATGTTTCCAGTTTATTATTATTGTTATGTGCGTAAGTTGTGGTTACACATGCCAAAGCACACACACATATATACACGCACATACATACTATATCGGGCATGCAAAGGCAGAGCATATTTGTTAGAGAAGTTAATTAATTTTTGACTATTTAAAACCAAATAAATCGCTGTTGTATTTTTGTTAAATAATTAATTCATCAATTAAAATTGTACGGAATTTCAAAATTTTCATTTCACATTTTCATTGTAAATTTTCTTCATATTTTTCTTTTCATTTTTATTTTTGTAAATAGTTGTTTTTGTTTTTGTAATGTGACGGAAATAAATGAAAAAAACATTTACCATCGAAACAATCAAACAAGAAAGAAATTTATATATTTATCTATTCGCTTTTTTTTTTTGATATATTATTTTTTTAATTTTTAATTGAAATATTTTTTTTGAAATATTTTTTTTTTTTTGCTATATTTTTGCTTTATGATGTTAAAAGAATTATGCAAGTAAAACGTAATTGCCAATACAATCAAGAAAAATGTCTATTAAAAATATTAAAACAAAATATTTAAGCACATTTAAAAAAAATCTCACTAAATACAGCATTCAAAATTATTAAAAAATTTAATATAAAAATGAAAAAATTTGTTACATTTTTCTTTTGGCTGCAGTTGCAATTGCTTTACTTGCATTTTTGTTTTTTTGCTTACTTTTATTTGTAATTTATGCGCAGAGAAAATGAGTTCGATTTTTGGAAAAAAACTGATTAAAATAAAATAAATAAACCAAAAGTTAAATAAAGGAAATATTATATGTAATTATAATAATTAAAAAAAAATTAAATAAAATTTAATTTTCGTATAAGATATTGTTTTGCATTTGATGTAAAAATGTAAAATGATTTTGTAATTGAGTAGGAAAGTAAATGCACACTCACCTTGTGGTGAAACTGCCATTTCTGCTGCCGATTGCAATTGTGAATTAAAACCTATAAAAAAACATCATGGTGAATAATTTTAATTCTTAAATTTAAAATAAAATAATAATTCAAAAATTTTAATACATAATACATAGTTTAATTTTTTCTTTTAATTTTATTGTTTCATACAATTCTTTTTAATGGTTTAAAAGTTTATTTTTTTAAACTTTTTATTAAATATTTTTTTTCAATTTTTTTTTATATTTTTAATTTTAGTATTTTAATATTTACTATTATATTTAATGCATAATATATTGTAGAATATTATATATAAATATATAATATTTATTATATAATAATATTATTATATATTATTTTTATACTTATTTTATATTATTATATTCTTAATTATTATATTAACAGTTTCCATTATTACAGTTATTACAAAGTTAAAATTTTAAAAAATATTAAAAAATAAAAAAGCTTAATTTTTGATTTATACTTTAAATGTGAATGATTACTTTTAAAATGTGTTAGGTTTATTTAATTAATTTTTATTTTTATATACATATTTTTTTTTAATGTTAATTATTATTTTTTGAATGTGTGAGGACATCATTAGAATTAATTTTAATTTTTTAACTTCATAAGTTTATTTAATATTAAATATATATATATTATATATAAATATTATAATATATATTATAATCAATTCTAATATTATTTTAGTTTCTATTTTTTTGATTTTCTTTTTTTTACTACTATTAGATTATTTACTATTATTAGCTTATTATAATTAAATTTATTATTTTATTTTATATACTTATAATTTCTTTTTTTATTTATTATACAATATTGATTTTTTTGTTGTATATAACTATTGTCAGATTATATTATTCTTTCAGTATATATAATTTAGTTATTGTTTATTAATTATTTCATTACTTGAGGTGCTTTTTAATATCTTAAATAATTTAATATCTCAGTTTTTAACTTCAGGTTATATTATTTGGCTTAAATTATAGATAATTCTTTTATTTATTTATTTATTTTATTTATTGCTTTCTATTTATATTTTTATTTTTTTAACATCAATTTTAAACTTATTTTTATTTCTAACGCAAAATATTTTATTTTCTTAATATTTTCTTATTTATCTAATGATTTCCCATATAGTTTTTTTTTTAATTTTTTAAATTTATAGTTTAAATTATAAAAAAAATTAATTTTATTTAGTTTTTTATTTTCATATTTTAGTTATTTTTTAGTAACTGTCTTACTATAGTATAATATTATATCATTTATATTTTTAATTAATAAATTTTAAACTCACCAGCTAAAGCTGCAGGATCTATGTTGCTCATGGAGAAATTAAATGCGCCTGGTGGAAATAATTTTGAATCTGCTGGTGACATGAGAAATGGCGGTGGTGGATGATGTGGCAAGCTGTTATCAATTTCTTCATCATTACCGGAGCTATTAAAAATATATATATGTAAAATATGTTTTATAAATATTTATATGAAATAACTAATATAATGTTACCTTAAAGAACCTTTACCACCATCAGCGCTACTAGAACGATTAACATCATTTTCACCTGTTGAATCATTGCTGTGCTCATCTGTGGCATTTTGATTATTATTAGTGCAAACTAGTTCCATTGGTTCGGATTTGACATCCTCAGCTGTGCGTGCAAGTGGTGAAGGTGTAAGACTGCCTAGTTTATCATTTATTGAAATACCATTACCATTTCCAGTGATATTGCCATTGCCATTGCCATTGCCTGTGGGTCCATTGCCTATAAAAAAAATAAAAAATATAATATTGTTGTGATAATCATTTTTTGTTAAAAATAAATTGTATTAATAATAATTTGTTATTCTAAATTAATGGTGGACATATATTGGATTAAAAATTATATTATAAATTGTATTATTACTTCTCCTACCAATAAATAGGACAAAAACCGAAAAATGAAGGTCTGATCGCAGATCGTAAATCAAAAAACCTTGTTTTAAAATATCGACATAACAGAGAGCCTCTTTGAAGTAATGCGAAAGCTTATTCCGGGGGGAATAAGTCTCTTCAAAAAAGACGCGTTTTTGTTAGTATATTATATATGGAGTGAGGCGCAACATTCCAACGACAGTCGGTTTTGACGATAAAACCCACACACCGCAGCAAAAACAAAAAGAATTTAGTAATATGATTCTTAAATTTCAAGAAGAGAATTTTTTTTATACATTAACATATTTTGTACATTTTGAGGACATTGACTAACTCCAGAACTTCCTTCTAAAAAGCATTTCAAGTTTTCCCAAAGGTTCAAAGTAGTTTTTAAACCTCTGTATGTCTTATACGGTAACTCAATAGGTCAACTAACCTATATGGATAAATAGGATGTAACTTAATATATTTTTCAATCCCTGGTACTAGCAGTAAAACCAAAAAAAATAATTTACGAATAATTAAATACAGAAACTATTTCCAAGACCACTGAAGATGGATATTTGGCAATACTGGAAATAGCTGCATGGTCAGCCAAAAATTCAGTTAATTAAAATAATATAAAAGAGTTTTTGTTGTTGTAGTTCACTACTTTTCGAAAACCTCTTTATTAATACTCGTATAATTTTTAAAAAAAATGTAACGCATCCAATTTTTATATACTATTTCTATTTGAATGTAAGGAGCAACATTTTCTCCTTGTCACTGCATAGAACCTTTATCCTTAATAAATGTTTCGACTTTACTTACGTTTTTCTTCCTTAAGTGGTGGTGTGTTGTTGTTGTTGTGTTTTATGGTTGAAAAGTCGGCTGGTGTCAATTGTGGTGACGAGCTGCGTTGATGTATGATATCAGGACTATTGTTATTGCTGTTTGGTAAGCCATTGTCAGAGCCCCGTAAACGTTTCATTGCATTATTCGAATCTTCAGCAGACGGTGTGGAGTTATTGCGTTCACGTCGTAACATAGCCATGCTACGTTTGAACAATTGTGTATTGATGTGGGAGGAGGCCAATGGTAATTGTGGTGGTGGAGGTGGTGGAGAGCCTGAATTTCGTGCGTATGGAGAATCATCATGTAGGGATGAATGATGTGAATTGATTGGTGTGCGTACACCAGAATTAGCCAGATTTTGAATTTGTGCTAATTGCTGTTAATTTTATTAATATATATGGAAATAAATAATTAAAATTTATTTTAATTAATAAAAATACAAATACACTTACACTGTGTGTTTCTTCGGCTTGTTGTTGTGTCAGACCAGAGACTCGTAATACCTCTGCTGTTTTTAGAAATGATTGCAATGATTTCTGATGTACATTTACTTCACCATGATAAATGAATTCGACCAATGAATGCAAGTCCAGAAAATTGACATCCTGTAATAGGATCACTGGGTGTTTGCAGGGTGTGCTCTAAAATAATATAAGATATAAGTTACATATATTTATTAAATAATTTATAATTGTGAGTTTAATTTAATTTTGATATTTTTTTAATGAGCAATAAAAAGACAAGTGCAAACCTTGGCAACAGTATTAAATAAATATCGTATAAGAAATAAAAAAAATATATTTATTATCAATTAAGATTAGTGCAGCGCTAAATAAATGCATGAATCAACTTCATATTGTGACTTGTCATTAACACAAAAATATCGCATATGTTAAGTAAACAAATTTATTTAGTCAAGGAATTGTGCATATCATATTTGTATAATATTTTTTCTTTATTATTATATTTCTCTTATATTTTATTGCACTTTGCAGTTTTACTTCACTTATATTATTACATATAAATTTTTTTAAATTAACAACTTGCAGTGAGTCCGACAAGTTGCAACCTTCAATAGTCGCCTAAATGTCAACGCCAGTTTGAATTTTGCAATATTTTTTGTTTTTTTCTTAATTATTTTTTTATTATTTGTTGTAAAAACGCATTTATCTATATATAATTATATATGTGTATGCGTATCTGTGTGCACTTCTAAATTATTGCACTTCAGGGCCAAGCGTTTATGCGTTGCTAGCGTGAGGATGTGTATATGCCTGCAATGGTGAAGTATCTCAACGCAAATTTTATTTTATTTTTTTATTTTTATTTTATTTTTTTTTTTGCATTTTGTGCTTTGTGGAGTTGCAATTTATTTAAATAAGTAACATATATGCACATGGAAGCTTTTCTGGAATTATATGAAATGTTTGTTGTTTGTATTTATTTAATGATTCCTACTTAAATGCATTTGTTTTGTATAAATATTTATTTTTTTTTCTTCGGTTATACATTAGGAGTGAGTATTCAAGTTAAAGTACGAAACTATATGTCAAACAGTCAAAGATTTTAAAATTTAAAAATTAATTTTAAATCGAACATTATAAAGTATGACACAAAGTCTTTTGACACTCCTTGTCGATTCTGGGTAAAACTACTTAATTATTTTTTTGCTTTAATTACATGTTTATTTTTTTAGTTATTTAGTTTATAATTAATTAATTTGTTATTATTATTAAGTATTAAATCGTTTTTCATGAGACTTCGTTATGATAACTAACGTGAAAGTAAAGTTTATATTCTGTAACAATAATTTGTACCTAATTTCAGGCATTTAATTTATATATAAAATATAAAAAATTAATGAAAAAGAAAATTTCACATTTACTAAAGTTTTTAAGACATACATTAAAAATGTCACACCATATTTTTGCCTTACTTAATTTGCCTTAATACTCAAATTAACTACCATATTTGTATTAAATTAAAAAACAACTGTCAAGCACTTGCTAACGAATAACACCAAAAATGTTTAATAAGAGATGAAAAATAATAATAGATGAATAAATAATAATAGATGAATAAATAATAATAGATGAATAAATAATAATTCAAACTCTAAACTGCATTGTGTGGTCAGCTAAATTTCAATAAATTAACTAAATTTTTGTTCTTGTCTTTACTTTGTTATTCAAACTCTTCTAACTTTTAAAAAAAAACTTATTTGTCGTTATAAAAAACGTAATTTTCGGCAAAAATAATTAACTTAAATAATTCATAAATTAATAATTACAGATGCATAAATATTAATAGATAAAAAAATAATAATTGTTGAAATTATAATAATGGATGAATAAATATTAAGAGATATATAAATAATAATTGTTAAATTAATAATAACAGATGTATAAAATATAGGACTTTTTATGGCAAGCAACGGAGGGAGAAAAGAAAAATGAAAATTTGCGAATAAAAATCACATTTAACTTCAGTATTTCTATAGAAAACCGCTGCATAAAAATTTTTTTATTTAAGATTAATAAGATTAAACTAGATGAATTAATTAATTAATTGTAATTATTATTTATTATTAACTAAATAATTAATTAATAAAAAGAGTTGGTTAGTAAAGGTTTAAACAGTGATCCAAAAAATTTATTTCCACTTGTCTTTACACATTTAAAAAAATTTCTGCGTATGTAAGGTAGAGGAAATGATAAAAATAGTGTTATATATCTAAGTTTATAACTTTTATGTTATATATAGTTAAAATAAAAATATATTGTATATATATATATATATATATTAAATATTAAATATTATATTAAATTAATATAAAAATAATTTTTGTTGTTGTAGTTTATTATATATCTATATATATATATCATATAATATATTTATCATATAATAATTAAAATATAATAATTATATATTTTAAATTTAAAATTTTTTAAAATTCAAATTTTTTATTAATGTATATAGTATGTAACAGTATAAAAAAATAGCCTTGGATGCCATTACCATACATTTAAAAAAATATTTTTTTTAAAATTTTTTTTTTGAACTTTTTGTAGCAATTCTCGAGTATAACAATTCGTTGTGTGATCCATAAATTTTTTATTTTCCTTTTTATTTATTTTCCACTTCTTCGCTGTAACCTAATGCAACCAATACGGATGAAGTGAGCGCCTAGTAAGTAACAAAGTGAAATCTGCAGTTGGTTTCTTATATTTTTTTTCTTTTTTTGTGCTTTTTATCTTTAGCAATTTATTTGACTTTGTGTATAAGTAAGTATCTGTAAGCAAGTTTACATATCTGTGCTATTACATTGCTATATATGTATGTATATATTGCATATTAACGAGTGCACGCAAAAGGGTCTTTAAATGCGCTTTGCAGCGGGCGCATTAGCTGCAGTCAGCAACATTTGCAGTAGCTGCTGCTGCTTCTGGCATAAGTTGTGAGCGCACTTGGCAGCGATCATTTCATTTATAGAAATTAGGTCAAGCGACACAGTCAGTGATAAACCATCTTGAGATCTACACTATGTAAAAGGCTATATATATATACGATAGACTTCCTTGGTATTTGTAGTTTAAATACTTGAAATTTCTTTATACTTCAGAGTCGTATGTTCAGACGTATCTTGTATGTAACAGAAAATAATTTGTGATGTTATGCAGCAGCACCCTATATACTTAACATTTGAGTTTGTTTGCGTGTTGCAAGTGTACTTTTCTCAGCATTTTTGACTTTTCATGATCGTTGGCAGGATCGCTCATTTCTATTTTTTCGTCGCTTTTATTATTATTATTTTTTTTTTTTGTAAAGATTTTTATTATTATTTTTACAAATATCTTTGGCACAAAAGATGATTTTTTACTTAAGCACATTTTATTATTGCTAGCGCTGATTTTTTGCATAGCACTTTGTTGTTGTTGTTATCGTTGCATTACTGTTACTGCTGCTTTGAAAATGAGGTCAACAGATCGTGAAATCTTGTTTTAGCGAAACAAAGTTGTATATAATGTTTGCCTTTGATATACCTATTGCATGTATAATATATGAAACAATTATTTATATAGCTACATACATTGGAGTACTGTATATATGTAATATATGTTGTTGATAATAAAAATTGTTGTGTGCGATTTGTATGGCTTTTGTTGGTACTTGGGCTAATTTTTTCATTAAAATTTGTTTTCTTTACTGTTACTTTGTTTATTTTTATTACTGTTATGTGTGAGTTATTTTTTTATAGAAAGTAGCACAACACCCAGCTTATTTGATATTGCACTGCTCTTCTGTTAAATTGGATTATTCATTAAAAAAAATTTTGCAATTTGTTCAAATATGGCAATTCAATTTTTAAGGAGCCTAAACGATCAAATATGACTATATTATGATCATAATGCTGCATTACCGACTTAACCCTTTAATGTTGTTCGGAGTGTGAAAGTTCCTTTAATGTTGCAAATGCTTTGATGTAATTTCTATTGTTGCAGATTTTTGCATAAAATTACTTTTTAATGTAAAGTGTTTAAGTGTTTGGTTTTTTATATCCTTCTTTCTTTCTTTCTTCTATGCAAAAGAAGAATTGCATAAAATTTTACACCTTTTCAATGTAAATAAAAATAAACTTTATCCTTTCAACTAAACTGGCAATTAGTAGCAATGCAAAGTGTATAATTTTGTTGTTTATTTAATTGCATGCTTTAGCCAACAGAAAATCAATTCACAAATTATGTTAAAATGCGAATAAAGTTATTTTGTTAAAAGCGTTTCCACCAGTTCGTATCATAGGGTTCTGTAATAATGCTGATTACAATAATATTATATATTATATTATATTATAAAATAACATACATAATTATACAATATATTTTAATACCTTTATTTCATTATATGATAAATGATCATTTGAGCTGAATTGATAAACACAGCCATTTTGCATTTAAAACCACTCAATAAAAAAATATATTTCTTATAAAAACAACAACAATTTTTTTAACAACAACGATGTTGTGTTGTGCACAATAAAAGTTTGTTTAAATATACCGACAATTTTTTTTTGGCAACAATACTATAGAAATTAAAAAAATATCTATGCATACAAAAATAAAACAACACATTTTCAATAACAATGATGTTGTCTTGTGTTCTACTGAAGTTTCTTTATATGCAGAAAATTAAATTTTTTTAATTGTTAGTAAAAATTAGTAAGTAACTTATTCGAAACGAATTATTGAAAATCAAAACTTGGCAATTGTATATTGGCTAATACAACAAAGAAAATTTCTGTGTATTTAATGCTGCTATATCAATCCTATATATTTTAGTTCGATAACTCGAAATAAAATTGAGGAATTTTTATATTGATAGATTTTTTAGACAACTTTTTTATATTGATAGATTGTCAAAACTTGAGTTATTATATAGATCTCGTTTTTGTTGTTGTTTTTCGATTTTATTGGAGATAGTTTTCAATGTTGGACTATATCTCGAATTAGAAACGATCGATTGGGTCTACATAATAAATTAAAGTCAGTTAAATCTGTAATAACAGGTTCTGACATTGTTTTCCAATTTGTTTGAGATGTAAATGAGTGTTATTGTTTTTTAGTATTGATGTAAAGTGTTTACC